TAATAATAATAGATAATAAATTGCATTTATATTGCGCATAACCCCGCTCGACAGCAAAGTCTACGCGCTTTATTTTATTGTATTACCCCAGCAGGCTAAAGGACACTCAGAAACATTCTCAGATTCCCAAGAAGTATACAGTGCAAGCAGCTGATTAAACGCTCAAACACAAACAAACTGACAAGATCTTTCACTGTTTGTAACTGAGTACCCATTCTCACCAGGGTGAGGTGAGGAAAATCCGTGTAAAGTGCCTTTCTCAAGGGCACAACGTCGGGCCCCTGACGGAATTCGAACTCACGACCTTACGGTTACGAGTCTGAGAGCCAAACCACTAGGCCACCGACGTCTAGACAGGACCCCTTCAAGTGAATGGACGCATCACGCTACCCCAAAATGACGAAGTTCTATCTGCTTTGCACCTTGTTTCGAGAAATTTGACATCAAAGATTTTGAGTTTTCCAACATGTCAAACTGTTGCAAATGCAAATTCTTGGATATCTTGTTAAAGACTCCGAGTAATCTTACGATTTTGATAGAGCTTATAAAGTTGTTCCGGCATCCGATCCAGAATGGGGGGATTTCCTTGTTAGTGAGACAACTTTCTGTGGCTTTGGCATATTGTGGTAGAGTGGACAGAGCAAATATAAAACTTTTATTTGGTTTCTGACCTTGTGGTATTTGCAACTCAAAGCAGCTTTTAAAAATGGCAGATAAAATTGTGTAATTCTAAAGTAGCGATCAGTCAGTAATCATGGTTTCCGCAGAACTCCTGGTGGAAGTGTACTCCGTAGAGGACGAAGCTCTGCGAGCTTTGAAACAAGCCACCAGCAGATTCCACACGCGTCTGTTGCCCATAAAGGCCAGGACAAGCAGAAGTCATTGAAGTAACACCAGCAGGGAGTAGACAATCTCCAGCACAACATGTCAAACTTTTTCAAATGCAAATTTTTGGATATGTTAGTCACGGCTCCGAATAATCTTACAGTTTTGATAGAGCATATATAATTTGGCTTCCGATCTTATGGTCTTAGTAACCCAAAACAGCTTTTAAAAATATCAGATAGAACTTTGTAATTCTAAGATAGCGATCAGTCAGTAATCATGGTTTCCCCAGAACTCCTGGTGGAAGTGTACCCCGTAGACGACGAAGCTCTGCGAGCCTTGAAGCAAGCCACCAGCAGATTCCACACGCGTCTGTTGCCCATAAAGGCCAGGACAAGCAGAAGTCCTTGAAGTAACACCAGCAGGGAGTAGACAATCTCCAGGACACGGCTGGAGGGGAACACGGGTAGCAGTGTCGCTAAGATCCAAGTGAAGCCCATAGCGGTGGAGAGCTTTAAGTAGATTATGCAAGTCAGTCGGTCGGAACTTTTTTTGCAGATTTTTTCTGACGCCTTGCTCGCTTTATTGATGCTGACGAGAGTGATTGTAAACGCGACTACATTAACAATAAAGGACAGAGCATACGGGCCGATGATAAATGTCAACCGAGCCCAAAGGGGGGCGGAGAACCAGAAACATATAGGATGGCCATACCGCGGGAACCTGGGTTCACTTGGCTGTTGAGGGTGTGTCTGTATTATGTTCATGGCCTGGGTTGTACTATTTTCCTCGTTCATGTCTGTGGTATTCACATTCCACTTTTCAGTAGATTGGACATCATTGCTGTCGTCCTCGTGTTCAGATCCTTCCACAGTTACGTCATCGGGGTGAGTGATATCAAGAAGTAATGACGTCATAACTATTGAAACACTGACGGTCCAGACAACCGCTGAGAAACGTATGAAAAGAGCATTACTGCTTAAAGCGTCCAGGGGGTTACTGACTCTGGCACCAAAAGTGAGCGCCATATTGACGGCAATAGCAGACATCCAGGCGTAGGAAGCCAAGGCAAAAAGGTGGTGGAGAGCAGCAAAGACAGGACAGACGTAGTCGTTGTGAATATCGAAGTACGTGAACATGTTCAAAATGTACATGGTCATCATACAGCCTGCCAAGTTGGCCGTCATTTTTCCAGGGAGGTTTCTTAATTCTGAAAACTTTCCATAAATTAGCAGCATGACAAACAAAGCAAGTATAGAAAGTGAAGTTGCTGTCAGTGATATAATGTTGAACGTAAGACTGAACCCATCCGTGTCGACCCCAGCTCCAAATGTTAGATCCGAACAAACGAAAGCTTTATCGTCCACGAGCTCAAAGTTTCCCTCTGTATAAATGTCTCCGGTTTGAAGAACGACCAGTGATGTGCCGTTGATAGCTGTTTGGTTTAACCAATACGACACCACAACACACTCTGTGTTATTGAAGAGGTTACTTTCACAAATAGTAAATGTGTCCTGTGAAGAATTGAAAGTACCGAGGTGAGAAATATAATGGTCAAGCTTGACAGAAAAACCAATGTGTTCTAGAGGGAAGTAAATGCCTCCCTGTGTTGTATTCTCAAGTGCATACTGCTTACCTTTGATGGTCTGAATGTCTGGGTTTCTGAGGTTCCTCGGGTGGCCATTGAAAGGACACACAGTCTCAGCTCTGTGTATGACATTCGTGAAAGACACACTGAGAACTCTCCTCGAACGGTCCGAGTACTTCGCTAACTCGCTGACCGCGTACCGTAAGTTATTTAGCGAACCTGCTTTATCGGTGTTTACAGCTATTGTTACTTCCACTGTAACAGCAGCTGGCTGGTGTACAGACGGCCCGTTGTTAGAAACTTCAGGCATCAGGAGTTCCTTCTCAAGACAGGGATATTCGTCTGTTGTTGCTGTTGTTGTTGTTCCCAAACTACGTTGCAACTCATTTCGCAGATCTTTAGAGTTCTTGTGCAATTCTTTCAAAGTCTGCAGGAACACTTCAACATTTCTCTCCATTTCTCTTAGATTCTCCATTAGTTCTGTTTCATCATTTTGCAAAGCTGCAAAGTCTGTTTGCAATTCTTTGAACTCAGTGAACGCGTCCTCAATGTCAGTGTGCAAGTTTTTGGCGGTACGTTGTAAGTTTTTAAAGTCCGATTGCATTTCCG